CAGCAGCCCGCCTCCTCTCGAGGGAGCCCCACGCGGCCGGAGGTTGAAGAGGTTCCGGCCAGATCAGAAGCTGATGTGGGTCTTGGAGCTGTGCCCCGCGGCCAGCCGAGAGGGGAGATCGGAGAAGGGCAGCGGCCGCGCGTGGTCCTCCTTCCCTCCTCTCGCTCCCCCTCCCCAGCCACCTTGTTCCTCGTCCTCCCCCACCCTCCTCACTTCCACTCGTCGTCCCTCCCCCTCCTCCTTCTCCCTCGCCTCAGGGGAGGACGAGAGCGAGGAGGGAATCGGAGGGGGAGCAGCAGCAGGAGCAGGAGCAGAAGGAGGACGAGGACGGAGGAGGAAGAGGAGGAAAGGGAGAGAAGAAGAAGAGGAGAGGGGGGAGGGGAAGCACGAGAGGTTTGGACGGGTGGCTCCTGGAAGGTGTGGCAAGGAAGGGGGACAGGGGGGGGGAGACCACGTCCTGAAGGCCCTTTTGTGGGCTAGTGGAGAGGGGCGGCGAGGACCACGACGACGACAAGCAGGAGCAGGAGCAGGAGCAGGGAGGAGGAGGGAGAAGGGTGAGGAGGAGAAAAAGAGCATGGAGTTGGGAGAATCAGGGGATAATGATGAGATGGGGAGAAGGTTTGAGGGCCCTGAACGCTTTCAGTCCTGCCTCTGCCCTCTGCACTTTCACATCGGCACACCATTCACACGCTCCGAGGCCCCACAGGGAGCTTCACCGAAGGCCCCAGCGGCAGGGTCCGCATGGCGGCCCCGGACCGACACACCCCTCACAGGAGGAGGAGGAGGAGGAGGAGGAGGAGTTAGAAGGAGGGAGGAGGAGAAGGAGGAGGAGGAGGAGGAGGAAGAGGAGCTCCACCGAAGGCCTCAGCGGCCGGTTCTGCATGTCGGCCCCGCACCCATCTCGGCACACCTTTTGCACACTCTTATTGGTCCCACAGGGAGCTGCCCCTCCTCCATCCCACCATGACGTGCTGCACTCGCACCCGCACGTGGTTGGGTCCTTTGTCCCATTCGTGGTTGGTTTTTGTGAGAGGGAGGAGGAGGGAGGAGGGAGTGTGGGGGGGAAGAGAGGAGGGGGCCATATCTGGCATCCTATCCCTCCCGTCTCGTCTCATTGCGCGGATGGCTTCTCTCGATCCGCGGACGCGTGTGACGCGTGCCGTAGCCGACCTGGAATTTCAATTAAGATCGAATCGTAGTATGCCCAATCGGAAAACGGGACCTGCGCACATGGAAGTAAGATTTAGAAAAGTGGCGCGTGAGCAGGAGGATAAGCAGGAGGGCGAAGGATGAGGAAGAAAGGAGGATGACGAGGACCAACAACAGCAGCAGGAACGAGTGGGAGGCGCAGGAAGACCAGGGGAAGGCGGAGGAGGGGAAATGAGGAGGGCGACAACGATAAAAACGCAATCGGATCCAGAAAAGTGACCCGCGCTAGGGCGAGAGCGCCATTTTGAACGATGGAAGCACAGCGCGGTGCCGAAAATGAGGCCCACGCTGCAGCGGGAGTGCCGTTTTGAAGCACCGAAAACAATCAGACAGCAAAAGCACATAGGGAAAAAAGTGTTGAAACACTGCGTGTAAAAACAGGGCGCGTAGAGGGCGAACATCGTCCTCACAGAGACAGGGGAGAGAGGAGAGTAAAATTCAGAATGTGTAAGTTTTAAACTGTCCTGGGACTCCTGCTGATTATTGAACGAGGGGGAGAGGACGAGAAAGAGCGAGAAACAGGAGGAACAGTGATACGTGCAGCGAGCTCAGCTGTTCTACGCGCCCGCAGTCGAAACACTTAGTAGAGTCGCAAAACTGGCAGCAGATTATCAAAGTAGGCTCGCAATAGAAGGTTGAGCGTGTGAGCAATAGGAGTTCGCATGGGGGCACTTCTGCCAGCAACACTGCGCATGGCGTACGGTCCTTTGTTGCAGATTTATTCAATCAGGTGAAGTGTGATCGTGGTGCGACGGCAACTCATGAGCCTTGACGTTTGGGGTGCAGCGCGTCGTTGACACTGATTCGTGTAGCTTCGGACATCGTCGCAAAGCCTGACGTGTGGATGCTACCACGGACAGTGGAATGTGCTATTCTTCCTGTAGTGGCAGATAAAGTTGCACGGATACAGTTGCGGCTGTAATGGACCTATGTGTCAAGGCTTGTGCGCGCACTCATCAGGTTTTCTGATCAGGTTTCGATGTCAGATCAAGCGTAACGTGACTCAGTCGAGCATCTCAGACGCTAGAGATGAATTCTGCACGTCTGTGCCAGCATACTTGTGCTGTTCCTCTATAAGCCATTGGTCGCCCGTACGTGGTCGTCGACCAGGCTATCGTACAGGCTTATCCGTGGTTGCAGTGGAGTGGCACGTGGTGTTAGGCGTCAATCGTCTGAGCGCGTGCGCACATTCAAAGTTGAAGCTACAAGTCTTCGCCAGGCCATTCTTGGTGCACGTCCGCATTTTTGACATCGCAACCATACTATGGTCGGGCCTTCAGAATGCGAGAATTGTGGACATCTTCACGAATGCACGTTCCGTAGACGTAGGGCTTCAGAGTGAAGTAGTGATGGTGTGTTGGTCTGGTTGTAGCCACACATGCAGCACAGCGCATGTGCGCTTGTAAGTTGCCCGCAAGTAGTTGCATAGTTAGTGCAACGAATGGGTGGCCGCATGCCCCCCTTTTGCATATGAGATCGGTCATTTTACTCTGACGCTTGCCCTTGCAAATTCTGAAACGATGGTGGACGGCCAGTCCGGCAAGCATCTGGGGTACTTGAACGACAAGGACAAGAAAGGTGCCGAAAGGCTCGTCGGAACCTACATTGCGTTCGGAGAAGTCGAGGACTCCCGCTCCACAGCCTTGTCTTGATGTTGTCTATTCCTTCTGATGCCACATGCGGCCCTACTGCGCAGAAGTGTTGTTTGTCAAGTAGCTTGCGGCAAACCCCGCCACCGTTCCAGCGCTTCCTCGAAGCGCATGTAGGGCAGATCTAGCGATGGCTCCGAGCAGTCTCGGTTGAACCGAGTTGGGGCTGTCTAGGGAGCGATTATAGTGCGTTGTAGCGTGGAGCAGCCGTCACATTACATGGATGTTACGCTTCGTTTTGGAAGTTCATTGGAGATATCTTGGAAGTCTTGCGGGGCTCGTTCTGAGCATATTGGGGGCCTTCGCGAGGGCATATTGGGGGCATGTAATAGGCTTGTGGGGGGTCTCGGGGCTGTCTTGCGCACGATGGCTCTCCCGAGCTCTCACGAAGGGGCTAGGTTGAACAATTGGGGAGCAGTATAGGCGGGTCTTGGAACCGTCTACAAGTTTCCGCGTGGCGGTCTTAGGCCATCTTTGAGTACGGGTGCGCAATCTTGGGGATAATTTGGGCCGTCTTTGGACCTAATTGGACGTCTCTGCCCTGTCCGAGGCAATCTTAAGCGAGAAGCTATCAGCTTCAGCAAAACAGCGGAGCGGGAGTTCAAAAGGCGTACTGGCATCGTCTTTTCTGACATCTGTGGATACATCGTTTGGCGCCTCTTTAGGCAGACTTGATGTTTTTCAGGGGCATGTCGGAGCCTCCATGGGGTCGCTGGGTCTTCTGCCACCTAGTATGGGGGCCATCTCGTCGGTTCTCGAGGCTGTCTTCGAGCTGTTCTGGGGCGGTATTGGCATTTCTGGCGGCACTCGCTGTGAAGGAAGGTGCCCTCTGAGCATTGCCAGTGACCCTACCAGGCAGCGAACAGGTATTCCAACACGCTCCGTCATGCAGAAGGCACGGTGGCGCAAAACCAATTAGTTCCCCTGTGTACTAGTACGAGTGTCGGCTCTTCTTGCTTGCTGAATTGAGTCCCCTAAGCACTTATTGGCCCTTCGCGTGTCCCCATCAGCCCACCCAGAAACGATGCCAGGCGATTCGCAAGCAGCTGAACAAAGAGGGTGGCATCAGCCTGAGCAGACCCAGGAGTTAACCAAGAATGCCGTCGCGGATCTTCCGATGTGCGACCCTCTTGGGTAGGCAGTTTGAACCTCTTGGGGCCTTCTCGGGCCGATGTTCTGGAGGCCTTTGGGGCCCCTGATGGGGCACTGTGTGGGCTCTCTTGGGGGCCCTCGTGGGCCTGCCCTGGGCGGCATCTCCCCCCCCCCCCCAAAAAAAAAAACGATGATGAGTGACTTGTGAATTTCCTTGACACAGAGACGATGACTGCGGGAACGAGGAGGTCACAGCGCTCTACGCCATCCACTATTTCGCCGAGCAGGACGTGGAGGAGGGCGAGGCCAGGGGGGACACAAAGACGCATTCCGATAACATTTCCCTGACATGTCCCTGTGTCTTCGACCCATCTTGATACACGGAGTCTTCCAGCGTGGGGGTAGGGGGAATAGTCAAGCCACCCCTCCCCCCGAAGGGCCTCTGTCTCGCTCACTCCGACCCGCCCTCCCACCACATCGGCAGCACCCGAGTCTCGGCATGGGCAGGGGCCGCCATCGACCGTCATCGGGAGCCCGCGCAGACGCCAGCCAGTCGCGCGACGCCCGCGAGGTGCGCCGCGCGTGGCAGGGCACCTCTATCATCCCTGCCAAAGAAACACTGCAAAGTGATCGCGGGGCGCCCACGCATGATCTAGCTGTTGCCGCAATGTGTATTTCGTATTGTGTTTTGAAAGGGATGGTGGACCTGCGCGCAGCAGGAAATTTGCCGGCAGCCCCCACGTTCCTGTCAAAAAGAATGAAAGCGCATGGCTTGATGCCCGCGCAGGATCCAGATTTGGCCGCTTTGTGAGTCATGGTTCTGGGTTTACCCCCGGTCAGGTGGGGAAGGGAAACAGTGATAGACCGCCGAAGGGAAGAACGGGATTGGAAGCTCTACTTTTCCTTCAACCGACAGGATCATGAGCTACATCGAAGCATCGCTCAACTACGTCCTCGGGCATGACGGGCCACGGGAATCGCGCCCGATCGCGATGGCACACCAGCAATCCGTACTCGCGATTGGCGACGATTGCGACGACGTGCCCACGCCAGCCGCAGTGGCCCACGAGCGCCGCAGCCGATTCATGCACATCATGCTGGGCATACGCCGGAGTCCGACTTCCCAACCCGTGCCCTTCTCCATCACGCAATTCCAGAGAGGTACCGCCGCCGCCGCCATCAACAAGATCCACGAGTTGATCAACGTGCAGGACTCTGACCTGAGCGCCGCCACTTCGGAGGACGCGACCCAGCCCCACGGCGCAGCAGGCCAACCGCAACACGTCACCAACTGCAAGCAGCCAAAAGCAGGCATGAGCTCTCACCCACCCACGGAGCCACAGCGCCACGACACGCCGACACACGCACATTGAACCGCTTAGAGGAAGCCCTCGCTCAATTTGCATCTTGGCGAGAGCAGCGCGCCGACCTACGCGCCCAGCCCACCACAGAAGCGGGGGCCGACCCGCAGCAGCACCACAACCCAAAGTCCCAGCTGGATTTGACCTACAACAACCAACAGCTGGCGCCAGCAGATGCCCGCACGACGACCACCGACCGCGACGCAACCACGCCAATCGAAGACCCCGCCCGTCCCAACCACCCTGGGAGCCTGGAAGTACCGACGACCAGCCCACAGGGGGAAGTGCAGGGAAACCCCGCTGGCCTGCAAGACCAGCAGGGACACAGCCTTGAGACGCCCATGACGACCGAAGCCGACCAAGAGTGGCAGCCATGGCCGCCTTACGAAGGTGCGAACCAGGTCGAATACAACACTACGGCGAATCAGGAGACTCCCACCTGATCGCCAACAAGCGTGGGCTCTAGCCTCAGAATGGGACCGGCCGAACGGCGGCCCAGCATTGCGCCGCCGACCGCAGACCTCATGTTTAACCAGTTTCGCTGTACGACAGACACGACACTGCACCAGTTGCTGCATTTCTTTTTTCATAACGATACTACCCCTATTCCAAGACGTACGCACCTACCGGCATCCATTGGCAGCAGCACAGCTGATAGCAGATGGCTCTTACTTCACCTCTTCCGCAACGGCAATGCATTGCGCAGACAGTTGCTCTGCCACTTCTCCTTCGACGGCAGTACCAAGGCAGACGCCCATCTTCTCAGCGAAGCACACGGCGAGAGCATCAACAACAGATATGCTATGCTGCGGGTCCCCCTGGGGCTTTCTCGCACACGGATGCTAAATTGCCCGTCGCACTGGAATGGGCTCCAACGGGGCATTCTCATCCACAGGATACGGCAGCGGGCCTTTGCGGGGCTTTCTCGCCCACAAGCGCACCATGCATGTGGGGGCCTCTACCAATCTTCAACCTTAACTACCTCCCGATTCATCTTCTTGCAGCCCCCTTCCCCCCGCTTTCCCATGCTAACTCCCACCATCCCTCTTGCGGCGGCGGAACGGGGCGGTTATCGAGCGGGAGTACACTGCAGAAGGAGAATGAAGAGTCGTTCCGTTGGGAGGACCGACACCTGAACCGCAGGGCTGCGCCACCGCCACGGAAGGCACAACCCCCCCACCACCACACCATGGGCTTGCTTACAGGTGAGGGATCCAATGACTTCGGGGACGCCTCTGGAGGGTTCTTATGAGCAGAGGGAGAAGCCCTTGGGCCTTCCCACTTTGGCGAGATTGGCCGTAGGGCCGCCACCGCCACACTGCGCACCGCTATGCCACCCACCGCTACCTTCTTCAACTGCCTGCTTTACATGTATCGTCGTGTCCTTTACCTCTCCCTTACCCCGCACAGTCGTCTCTGGCCACTTGGGCGATCCATGCTCACCATCAGGGATCAGGGCTGAGCAGGACTTGACGGCACCTCTCGCCATCAGGGCTACATGTTGATGTCAACAACATCCTTACGCCTTACCGCCAGGGCTGCCGCTGCTCCTTAATGGGATATGAAGGTCTGGCTGTGCGGTTGGGCTCTACCAGACAACAGGCCGTCACAGGCAAGAGCCACTTGCCACGCCGCCGCCGCGATCACGTCGTTCCCCCTCCCCTTGTACGGTCGCCGCGCGCCGCCAGGGCCACCAATTCTCAGCTCAGAGTTGGGCTCGCCACTGGGGATGACAGCTCATAGAGGAGAGAATTCTTGCCATCATGGTTACTGCCGCACACATAGCGGGAGATGACTATTTAATTTTCCTACAAATCTATATACATACAGAGAGAAGGGGGGATGACGCAATAACGCCTTAACTCGCATCACATGCAGAGCGCAGTCCTCTACTTGCACTCTTGCGCTCAACCGCCTCACGCACAGCGCCACAGTCACGGCCGTCAACATTCCCATTATTATCCCTCCTCTTTCTGTTATGATATAGTTTCCCTCCCTTTCCTATCTCCCCCTGTCGCTGTCTGTCTGTCTGTGTGCTTACTTTTACTACCAGTGTCTCGTCGCCACCGCCTGGCACATAAGCGACCTGGCTGTTCAGTTGGATCAACACTCCAGTTCCGACCATCCCTGGGGGGGAAGCTACATCCAGAGGCTCCTGCAACCACCAGGAACCAGGAGGAGAAGGAGGAGGAGGAGAAGGAGGAGAAGGAGGAGAAGGAGGAGGAGGAGGAGGGTGAGGAGGAGACAGAGGAGGAGGCGGGGGGGGAGGGGGAGAAGAGGAGAGGAGGGAGGAGGAGGAGGGGCGGAGGAGGAGGGGGAGGAGGAGGAGGAGGAGGAGGAGGAGGAGGAGGAGGCGGAGGAGGAGGAGGAGGAGGAGGAGGAGGAGGGGGAGGAGGAGGAGGAGGAGGAGGAGGAGGAGGATTAGGAGGAGGAGGAGGGGGGAGCAGGAGGAGGAGGAGACAGAGGAGGAGGAGGAGGAGGAGGAGGAGGAGGAGGAGGAGGAGGAGGAGCAGCAGGACGAGGAAGAGGAGGAGGGAGGGAGGAGGAGGAGGAGGAGGAGGAGGAGGACGAGAAGGAGTTTCGGTCCGGTCATCCTCGACGATGCGAGCCAAGCGCATGACGCACCAGCGAGTGCCACAACCCATGGCTACGACAGTCGAGAGGTGGAAGCAGGAAGACGACGACGACAACGACGACGAAGGGGGAGACCCTGGGAGATCTCACGAAGGGGAGGGAAGGGATCGGCCGCTAGGAAGCCATGCAGGTGAGAGGGGCGGGCCAGGGGATGGCGTACCAGTGAAAGGTGGACGCAGCAGGAGGGGGAGAATAATCCTTAGAACTCCTGAAAAAAACATGTTAACAACGTCCGAAGCCCTGAAACTTCCTCTGCCTCCTCTTTCCCCCCGTCCCCTCATCCCCCTTTTCCAGCCACTCACCTCATCCTCCCTCCTGCCAGTGCTCCATATCCGTCCTCCCTCATTTCCTTCCTCATGATCCCCCTCTACCCTCCATCTTATCGTCCTCCAAATCATCATCATCTCCTTCTACCCCCCCCCCTCCTCGCCTCCTCGCCCCTTCCTTTCAGGTGCACATCTTACCCATCCTCGTCATAGTAGTTTCCCGCGTCATCTTCCTCCCCCATCGGTCCTCTTCCCTCCTGCCCCCCCATTTCTCCTCTTCGCCAGGATGGGGCACAGACCGACATCAAGGCCGTGAGCCAGACCTATTTCAATGAGATCATGTTCAGATTTTGGAATCCGAAGACGCGGGTGGGAGGGGAGGATTCGCTCCCGCATTTTGCAGCTCCAGGCGTCACAGCCGTCAAATACTTAAAAACAGGTGTCGGTTTCGTCCAGATTGCGGGCATTGCGATCTGCGTGCAATTGTTTGTCAGATCACGAGTCGGTTCGGGATTAGCCCACCTTAGGGCGTTGTTCGGCCTGCTTCGAAAACCGATGTCCTCTGCTCAAGATGGTGTTCGGGGGCATGGGTCTTGGCAGAGGTGCGAATGAACACGCGGTGGTCGTCCTTTCGCCAAAAGGGGCAGCATTGCATTACTTGCCGCAAGGTGTCCACGGTTGCGGCTTAAGTTCGTGAGACATGGGGGGTGTCTAGCACTCGTTCGAGTCGCGCCGTCAACAACCATGTTTTCCGCCAGCACGTTTGGGGGTACGGCATCGATGCCCATCCAAGCATGCTACGTTGTAGCAGTGCCGAAAGAGAATATGGGGGTCGTTGGAGCGGCCAGCTTTCATTATCAGCCTGCCACCTTCACCGCCGACGCCCTCGTCGTTGCATGCTGGAGGGCAGCTTGGAAGGTAGGTAGCAGTGGTGGCGTGTATCTCGAGGGTACCGTTTATAGATTCGGTGCATGTATTTGCGAATGACGGGCTCACTTGTCCTATGAGAATGGTTAGATGTGTTGCGCAGCTCGATGCACGACTTGTATGGTGCGCACTGGTGCGTTATATTATGATGTGGATTGGTGATGAGTACTGCTATGATGTGATAAGTACACGGCGCTGAATACACCGCTACATGCGCTTCATTAAACTGCACTGAACATGTATACTGCCCACTGCAACGTTGCCCCTAGCTGGGGTCTCGCCGGGCTCACTCGCCGTTCGGTGGGACTCTCGATGAGACGCCGTCTCACAGGCCTGGTGAGCAAGAGCGGCGTTTCCCGGTCTTGTCCAGTCGGGTCCCTTTGTTGACCCCACTTGCTTTTGTGGTGCGGATTATGGTTGAGGAGGGGACGACGACGACGACGACGACGACGCCGGAGAGGGCGGCGGAAGGGGACAAGGGAGCGAAGCATGACAAAGGGGGGCGAGGATGAGATGTCGGAGCGGGGAGGAAGGGTGCGACCATGATCATTCCAGTCAACCCGCGTAGTAGGGATGAGCAACTTCCCAAGTTTAGCCTTGCATCCTTCCCCTTCGGCCCCTCCTTGGCCGCTGTCGCTGGCCGCGCCCCGCTCGCAGAGGGTCGGCATGGCCGTGCATGGCCCTTGCAACCTTATCGTGCGTTTTTAGCATATGGGTTGACTGTATGGTGACGACGATGCTGCGAATGATGTAAGCTGGTTGCCGTGGTGGTGGTGGCTACGTCAACGACGGTGACGGTGCTGCCGATGGCTGCGGCGGGGAGGAGGAGGAAGTGGAGAGGGGGGGAGGAGATGGAGCAGGAATCGGAGGCAGCGAAGATATCCAGATGCCTGCGGCAGACCTCGCCAACGTGCCAGCGTAGCAGCCTAGCATGAAAGAGGTCGAGTCTAAGACCCGCTCCTGTTCGGTGCATTGTTTGAGTTGTTACGGGGCTTGAACACAACCTCTTTGTCCGCAGCTGTGTCTCATGTTCCCCGCCTCCCTCCTCCCATGTTGACGGCATCCCTGAGGCCTCTGGGAGGCTTCTTTGGGAGGTATCTCGTGGGCCCTCTCGGGAAAGTGTTGGGGAGCTGTTGGACGGCCTGCCAACGCAGCAGCGCAGCAGGAAGGAGATTGAGTTTAAGACCCAAGCCAGTTCAGCGGGCGGTCTGAACTCGCGCGGCTATTGATTTGAATTGGAACTCGTTCTCACTTGGCCTTGGGCTCGCTTGGGGGGGCTCGCTTGGGGGGCAAGTTGGGGGCCGTCGGTGATCTCAAGGCCGTCTTGGGCACAATGGCTCGCCCACGGCAAACTGACGCAGCAGAATACAATGTTATTTCAAAGCGAAGCAATTCGAAGCAATAGAATCAAGAAAACACATTGCAATGCGAAGCAGTGCAACATAAAGCAACGCAGAGCAGTGCAAGCAGTGCGAAGCAAGCGAAGCGCGACAAACCAATGCAAACATTTCAATGTAACGCAAGCGAACGCCAAGTAATAGAATGCAAGGCAATGGAATGTAAAGCAGCGCAAACCAATGCGAAGCAAGCCAAAGAAGCGCAATGCAAATCCATGCCGAGGAACTTCGGGAAATTCCCAGGAGCCCAGAAGAACCTTCCAGGATTCCCGAGGAGCCCTCAAGTGCCCGGCGGGACCCGACAGCATCGCCGCTGGTCTTCGTGCACCGAATGGGCCTAAAACATCCGTAACACATTATGCGCAAGCCGTTTTTGGACCGACCGAGCGCACAAACAGCATTCTCAACATTCATCTCCAGCGTGCATGTATGGTCGGCACGGCATTAACATTATTTGTTTTCTCATACGCTCATGTCGATTCACGCGGTTTCATCATCAGTCCAGCTAGTCATGACGACGGAGAGAACCCAGCGCTCGACGGTTGGACCGAACTCGACGGGTCCTTCGCTCGCTTATTTTCGGGCTCCGATTCCCCTCCAGCATCTAGGAGGAGCGTCCAGACTTCCACGTGCACGAGAGAAACAAATTTGGTCATGCCCCGCCATGGCGATGTGAATAATTCAATGTTTCGCGAGTACACGGTTACTCCATCGTCTTTCCAGCAATCAAATAGCTTGAAGGTTTGTGCTACCGTTGACGAGCTGCTGAGCGCGGTGAAAGATGGGCATCGTGAGTGGACAGGGGGCCGCGCGGACGAAAAGGTACCATCTACGTTCGTTGCGGCGGGGTGCAGAATCCCTCATTACGAGCCAACACACGTCAAGGAAATCTTGTCAAAGCCATCAAAAGTTTCAGTATTCGGCGATTCGCTTACCCGACACATGATAGTGGGGGTGACTTTGCTTCAGTCAGGCAATTACGTAGACGGTGGTTTGTTCAAAGCGGACCCGCAGTGGAAGAATTGCATTTGCGACGGCCAGTTTAGCGAGTTTTTGGTGTGCCGCAGTTTGCTGAATATTCCGGTACATGATGACACAAGCAAGACAAAGCATAGCGAATATATCTTGACTAATCGGAGCTGTCGGGAGGATAGCTCGCCCCGCGTCTTTTGGTTGCAAGGAGGAGCCCACTTCCATAGCAAACCGTATAAGGCTGTCAAGGATTTGTTTGTTCGACATGTTATCGGCATTAGGCAGGAGCATCGAAACTCTAAGTGCCCAGGACATCCCATCATCTTTATCTCGGGGCTCAATTCACAATCTCGTTCACTAGATCAACCTTTTCCAGAACAAACCAGAGAGAGGGCAGCATTTTTCAACGAAAAGCTCGCGCAGGCCGTGGCTGACCCCTGGCTGACGAGCAATAACGAAATTCACATGGTTGATTTCATGAACCTCACATTGGATGCGCAGACAAGTGACGGTTATCATTACTTGACGGATGTGAACATTGTCAAAGCGGACGTGTTCGTCGGCTTGGTTGACATGGTTCATCGTGAATGGAGGTTCTCTTCTACCATTTCTCGGTGAAGGGTTGTGATTCTGCCGCTGGCTTCCACGAGTCTGAATGACGGCTCGTTGGTGCACCTTTTGCGCTCACGGGCGATCTCATCTATTCGTCAAAATCAGCAGTAGCGGTACCATATCCGGAGGCAAAAATCTGCTGGGTCAGGGCGCCCGCAAAGTGGGGGTCACGACGGGCCCCGGGGGTCCGAAGATTTTTGTGTGATATCCGACCCCGAACCAAACCTCCAGGTCGGTTTGGGGGGTCGCTGCGGCGTTCGCGGCGGCCGCAAATCCCAATAGTTATCAACATGGCGACAAAAAAGAGTGCACGTGTATGTTCAACATGGGTAGTCACGTTTTGGTTCGGAGCTCGTTACCACGCAACCAGAAGAGGAGGAGGTTTTGGATTGCGACGCCGAGCAAGCTGGGAACCTGTCACTCTCTCTTTCTTTCTCTCTCCCTCTCTCTCTCTCTCTGTCTCCCTCCGTGTAGTCTTAAGTCGGGTTTGTCCCTCTAATGGGAGAAAATTCAAAAATACTCAAAAGATAGTCTGGGGACGATCTTTGGCGTATCTTTTGACCATCTGGGTGTCTATGTTGACTATTTTTAATTTTTCGCCCGAAAGCCGCCTGTAAGCGGACAGGCCCGACCTAAGTTCAGTCCACCGCCAAAATACGAATCACCTCGGGCTTAAGCGGTGGTTCTGGCGTCCTGGCCGCTCCTTGGGCTCGGGCCGTGGGGCCTGCTCTGTGGCCGAGGTCCGCCGGGGCCAGACGAACCACTGCGTTCCCTGCCTGGCGTTCCTGGGGGGCGTTCCTCGTCCTCCTCCTCCTCCTCCTCCTCCTCCTCCTCCTC